ACATCTGGCTTAATAGTTTTAGGTTAACTAACAGCCTCAATGAGCCAGTCATTATGGTAATTTGGACTATGGTAAAATTGGTCAGGTAGTTATAGTCTCTTAAATTTGGCCATGGAGCTAAGCATGCATTTTACTAATCCTTCAGGGGTTTCTGTACTGAGCTCAGAAACTAAAGGCTTGATCCTAGGTCCTACTGAGGCCAATGACAAAACTCCTATTTCCAGGATAGGAATTCTTAAACTCCTGGGGCCTCATCAGGAGATCATGCAAGTCAATAGAAGCCCCAGAAGAACAGCTCACTACACGGGGAGAAAAAGCTATGAAATACTTGATCAAGGAAGAAGGGGGTGTGGTAGAAATGGAAGAAGTGCCTACCATGAATCTCCACTGCCTGCTGTCACTTGCATGTTACATCAATGATACCTTTGTTTTGCTTTACTGACTCAGATCTTGTGGGCCTGCCTTTTGACTACAGAAGTGTTATTCCAGAGCAGGTTTTGCGTGGTTTGCAATCATGACTGTGAATTCTAGGCAAAACCTGCCTTTAGAGGATTAGCTGTTCCTGTTAGTTGTTGGGCCATACCACAAGAGGACAAGCACAGAAATGCCATCAGCAACTTGCAGCAGATGCCGACCCACTTGAAAAACAGGAAAAGGAATGGAAACAGGAAACATTTACCATGAGGTCTTGCCATGACTAGATGTTTGTAACAAAGAGCTCCACGGAAAGACGACATGATCCAAAATTCACTGATTGAGGAAATGATGACAAAAAAATTAGCAAGGTGGCAGGTGTGTTTAAGAAATCTGCCATTCAATTATAGGTACATTACACCCTTGGGGGCAGATCCTAAATCAGACTCATGCTGAGTTTAGATTCAGACATCACTTGTAATAGCCAGAGGGTGACTCAGTTAATGATCTCTCCTTTATCCTATGTTTCTCTAGATCAAGCAGTACAGATAATTATGAATTATGATAAGGGCTTTACATTTCAGGGCAAAATTTGCATAGATAAGAGGATGCCTATGGGTTAGGTGGTTTCATGCTCAATAATTAAGTAAATTTCATCAGAGGGAAGTGAGGCAGAAAATGGGTAAAGTCACTCCTCTGTTAGATGATTTTTCTGCTTGTGGACCTGCAAAGCTCTATTCTTATGATAGAAGCTACCGATGGTATATTAAGAGGTTGCCAGTGATTTTAGAGCTCTGAGAGCAGAGGAAACAGTCAGTCTTGGCAAAGCTGTTACACATTTTCAGACACATTGAGCTAAATTGCCTTCAATTGAGCTCTGTATGTGCAACTGAGAGTGGAATTTGGTCCACTAAATCCAAGGAAATAGATGCATAGCTCCATGGGGATATAGTTAAATATGCCTTGGGTATCAGAAGCTAATAAGGTTACTTTGCAGAACTCACTTTTGTGAAAATGCCACTTATATTTTACTTCCAGGATCAATATGGCAAGTAAGATTTTCTCATGCTCTCTGCCAGTTCCTAGCAGAAAAAGTTCAAAAGCAGCATCTTTTCATCAGAATTACGGGTGAATCACAGGAGGATTTTGCTGTTCAACCTTTTTAAAGCATTTTAGTGGGACGGCTATGTGGGAGCTGTAACTGATATCAGAAGAGAAATGGCCCCTGTTAGCAGGTAGACTGGGAGAGGTGGGAGCAGGTCTTTTCTATTACTGTGGAAGTGTATAGATGAGGTCTGGACCATCCCAGTGGACTAAGTAGCCATTTTCATGCTACATATCTGTTTTCCTGCTGGAGGAAATGGAGTCTAGTGGTTAGTGCACAGGGTTTAGCATTCCTGAGCTCTAGTCCCAGCTCAGCTACTGACTTGCTACGTCACATTAGACAGGGCACCTGTGGACAGATTTTCAATTATTTAGGCACCTATCCGCATCTTCATACGCCTAATTATCTCTTAAAATCTGACCCAGAACGACTATGTGCCTCAGTTTACCCTGTAAAATAGGCTTGCTGCCCCCTTCTTCATCGAGGTGTTGCAAGGATTAATTAATTCACATGCATAAAGTGCTTAAAGTTCCTCAGGTGGAAGCCACTATATAAAGCGCTAGTTATTAATATTATTATACCTAGTACACCTGTGGGTTGAACATATTCACTGAGATATCCCCCCCACATCAGCAGAGATACCAATCTTCACCAAATTTAGCAAGCTCTCTTTATATGAATGCATTTGATGAAGAAAAGCATCAGCAGATCGGCATGGACATTGGGAGAAAAATCCACCACAAATCAAGTGTTCAGGTCTCTCCCCTCTTTGAGGCTCTGGTGGCTTTAATGGAGCTCAAGGGTCTTTTCACAATTGATTTTTTTTTACAATGGGCCGTCCAGCTGGCGAAGGAAAGGGTTGGTTTTCGGTGTGTCAGGATGTCAGCCTTCCATGCCGCTCCGTGACGATGAAGCCACTCCCAAGTGGTCTAATGATGGCACAGTCCACATACAGAGATGGCTTCATTAACCAGTGTTATTATTTGTATTACCATCGTGCCAAGGAGCCCTAGTCATGAGCCAGGACCCCACTGTTCAAGTCTGAGCAATATCTAACTATACATGCTGGGCCCCCCTTTCCTCAGCACTCTGCCCCCAACTCTCAGTCATCCCAGATTCTGACACCTCCCCTCTCAACCCGACCATCACCCCAAAATTATGCTGACCACCTGATGCCCCTGCAAAGCCCCACTGGCCCGCCATATCCCAGCTCACTCCCCATGCCTTTCACACCCACCAATACTCCCACCCCACAGTGATGCTGCCTGGTGCACCAAGGAGCCAAGGCAGCAGTGCCAAGCCCTTCTTGTCCTCCTTCCTGCCCCTAGCTCCCCTTCTCCTGCCTGCACCCCATTTCCCCTTCTCCACATATCCCCTCACAGCCTTATTCAACTCTCCCCTTGTGCAGCCCCGGATTTCCATCTCCTCCACATCAGCTTGGCTGCCCAGCCAGTCTCAGGGACTCTGCTGAGCAAAGCCAGTGAAGGAGGAGACAGGTTAGAAACACTGCAGAACAGAACTAGCTGGCAGAAGTGAACAGTCCCAGGGCTTTTCCTAGCAGAGAACAAGTACTGAATGAGAGGAATGTGTCTCTCTCTCTTCAACTGGGGCTTTAGAATCTGTACTGTCCCTGGGCCAGTGTGCAAATGTCTCTGTGTTTGGAGCTTGTCAGGACTCTGGTTCTTTAGCCAGGGGATCCCTAAAGAACATGGGAGAATTTCAACAAGGTCTTGTCTTCAAATGTTTCCTCTACCACAGTTATTAAATATTAGACCAAGAAAATATTAGAGACAATTCTACTATTTCAGGTACTTAGAATTGGAAAAGGTATAGAGAAGGGCAGCAAAAATTATTAGGAACACGGAACAGCGTCCATATGAAGAGAGATTAAAAAGACTGAAACTGTTCAGCTTAGAAAAGAGACAACTAAGGGGGAACATGACAGAGGTCTATAAAATCATGAATGGGATAGAGAAAGTGAATAAGGAAATGTTATTTACTCCTTTACGTAACAAACTAGGGGTCATCCAATATAATGAATAGACAGCAAGTTTAAAACAAACATAAGGAAGTAGTTCTTCACACTAGGTACCGTCAACCCGTGAAACTTATTGCTAGGGGATGTTGTGAAGGCCAAAACTATAATGGGGTTTAAAAAAGAATTAGATAAGTTCCTGGTGGATAGGTCTATCAAGGACTAGCCAAGATGGTCAGGGATACAACCTCTTGCTCTGGGTGTCCCTAAACCTCTGACTGCTAGAAGCTGGGACTGGATGACTGGGAATGGATCACTCGACAAATTGCCCTGTTCTGGTCATTCCCTCTGAAGCATCTGTCACTGGCCACTGTCAGAAGACAGGATACTGAGCTATATGGACCATTCATCTGATCCAATAGGACTGTTCTGATGTACTCATATATTCCCATTACCTCAGCCCCACAATCTTTAATATATTTATCTGCGCAGCATGCCTGTGAGGTAGGGCAATGCTATTATCTCCATTAGAGAGACTGCTGATGCTTTCCCCTTTCCAGTGAGTGTATTTCTCCAGTGTATCTTGTCCTAGTGTGCCTCAGGCATCTTTGAAAGTTTTAGTTAAGATTCATGTAATAGATGCAGTCAGAATCCTAGAGCTGCCAAACCACGACAGAAAATGAGAAGGAAACAACGGAAAGATACGTCATCATGTCACAACAAACAGACAATCTTTTGTGAAACTAATGTCACTATAACATGTTGTATATTTTAGTTCTGTAAATGAGACTGAATAATACCAAACAAGGTAGCAACTGCAAAGTCCATTCCAACATCATGAAACTTTAAAGTTTCCTTGTCATCGTCACTGAAGGGGTAAAGAATTCTGTGCGAACGATGATACCTGGAAATACCCCAAGAAAATGACCCGGAGCCAATATCTGCTCTCAGCTCCACTGGGAGAAGAATTTGGCCTTTGGTATCTTGAATATTACAACTATAACAAACGGCTGATACTTTTGGTGCTTTACATATATGCAATTCCCCTTCCCTTCCCTTATAACAGTGAAGGCCAAATCTGCACCTGGTGTAAATGAGAGCAGTCCTACCATCCTGAGCTAAAGCCAGTGGAGTTGCTTACGCCAGACTCCATAATTGGACCTGAAGCTGTATTCAGTTCTAGACTGGATGCCCTGCACTTCTATTTTTAAAAGACATCACTTTTGTTTTTGACATTTTAAAAAGTTATTCTGGAACTTTTAGTTGAAACCCATTTGGGTGAATTATCTGATGAATGCACAATATTTTCATGGTGAAAGTCAAACTGCAAAGCAAGTTAATTTTCATGAACCAGCATGGACATTGCAAACTTCTGTAAAGACTTAAAAGGAAAATTGCAATCTTGTCACAAACACAACTCTGTTGCATCCACATAATTAAACTAGAACCTGTCCATCAAAAGTGTGAATTCATTCAGTGATTAACTGGAGGCTTGGCCTGCCTTACCTGGGATAGGTATAATGGGAATACTCTCATTAGGGACCACTCGAGGTGAGCTGCTGTCTTCCACGTAGAAATGAGCTGTCTGAAAACACTTTCTGTTAAAGGAACAGAAAAAGTTAAGTGCTATGAAAAATAGCATATAAAAATGCAGTGAAGAACTTTTGCACATGTTCTGCCTTTCCATTTCTAGTTACATACTGTCAGATAAAGAAAAAGAGGACTTGTGGCACCTTAGAGACTAACCAATTTATTTGAGCATAAGCTTTCGTGAGCTACAGCTCACTTCATCGGATGTTACAGCTTTAAATGCTTGTTAGTGAAAACACATGTAAGCTGTATGTAATTCTATTTGTGCTTTCAGTATGACTTTAATTCACTGATACCTAACCACCCCCCACCCCCTTTTAGGAGCATACTATTGCTAAGTATTAGTTCACATTAAATTAAGTGCCAAAAGTTTACTATTTGAAATATTCTAGATTTCAAATACACAATTCAGAAAGAAACATACACAGTCCTATGGATCATACACAGTCCTATGGATCAGTTCTCAAATCAAAACTAGGGTAAAATGTTTCAAGGGAATATGCACCGACTGTAAAACTTTATGCTGTGTAACAGTGGGCAGTATCTAACACAAAATATGTAACGGCTGCATGATACCCCATTGCTGTTATGAAAGTTACAGTTTCAACAGTAACAAACTTTATTTCTATAAGCCCTAAACCTGTACAATCCTCTTCATATCCTCCGGCTAACACTGAATCGCAGCTGCTGGTATAGAAAATCCAATAGATGCTTAGTTTGGGCCCCAAAAGCTGTCTCTGAAAAGGCCCAAGACGACAAGTCAAATGCTAGAAACCCTGCAAGGAGGTCTTAAATCCACCTGGATGTTTTTACCTGTATTTAATGCAAAGCAGAGAGCACAAGCTGGTCATCATAGAGAAGGCACTGAGCAGATGAGAATCAAGAGATGCAAGAAGCTTCTGCATGGTGATGTTAACTGAGGCAGGGTTTTCCAACATCCGCGTCACTGCTCATTGCTGACTTAATGAGCTGCTTGAGGCTGGAACTGAATATTTAATGAGCCTTGCTCAGTGTGAGCAGCTATTGTGATGAGAGAAGGGTCTGCTCTCATCTGTCAGGGGCTCTTAACAATAGCCTTGACCTACCATAAAGATCCCTCTTACTGCAGCTCTGAATGAACTGCTCCTCAACACCTGTATGGAGTTGGAACACAGCCCTGATTCACTGCCCCTGTATGGGAATTGTTTCTCCTGCTGAAAGATATTTGCTTGTAACTTTCTGCCTTGTCATATGCTTTTCTCTAATTCTGGACATTGTGTTCTGCATAGAAAGCCCACTCTCTATAGCCTGTTTTGCTGACATTGTCAAACTAATTTATGCTTCCATTGTTTCATCACAGATGCAAACCACAGCGCTAAGAAGTCACTGAAAATAGCCAACAATGCTTTAAGGCAAAACGGGTCTCGAAAAGAACTTAAGCTCCCCACAGGTCCATGTTTGCACAGCAGCACAATACTAGTTATGGCACTTTGTAAATACTAAAAGTATATGACAAGTAAGCCTCACATATGCTAATGATTATGCAACCAGAAAAGATCACATTTCACAGCATGGTGTGGTTTTCTTGAACTGGGTCTTTTTTTTCAGGGAGAGTGTCTTGTACCATCTTAGAGTTATTTATATGGTAAGCATACTTTGCTAGGGAACACCATAGTGTGAAATCATACTCGAGACTCCCAGATGCATGACATATTGTGTGACATTTAAAGGAATTAGTTCATTTCCCTCCTCTCCTCCTCAACTCTGCTGCCTTTTTTTAAAAAAAAAAAAAAAGCAAAAAGGGAATTCCTTTATTTTTTGGTAGCCTTTTCTTTGGACAATGCGCACCCTGGGGGCATAGAGCAGAATAAATCAGTCACACACAAGGGGAGAAAGTATGAATATGAAACAGGCAAAACATTCACGGTTTTGATGCCTTCAGGACTTCTTTCCCTTGAGTAAATTCTACAGAAAATCCATGGAGCGGTCTCCTGGTAACTGAGGCCTTAAGAACACATATAATTTTCCACATAGCAGTTTAATAAAGATAGACTTTTTAATTTATTGATCCCAGGTGGTTTTTTTCGGGATGGAGGGTAAGGGGGGGTTTGGACTTATGACACATACAAAATGGTATTCTTTTTTATTCATTTATTTATTCTCTTCTCTCATATGCAAAAAACAAACAAAAAACCCATTGCATTGTTTTTTATATCACCACAAGAGAATCATTTAATAAAAATATGAAATTGCTTAATTCTATAGCCTAATTACGTTGTGTGATGTGCGTAATGCACATATATAGTAATAGACTAAATATGCAGTAACATCTCAGTACAGTGTAATATATACAGGGATTAGTAATAACATATTAATCATATAGTAGAGTTTGCTGCTGTAATTTATGCAATTGACAAATCTGTATTTCTCTTTCTTGGATGGCTATTAATAGCTGTCATTGAAAACATCATTATGACACAACCAGGTAATGAGCCAAGTGCTTTGCCTAATTACAAATATATCACACTACAACGCAGTGTGTGTGTGTGTGTGAGTGTAACTGTAGGCATGGTATTACACATACATAATACTGTATAGCATTTGCTTATTACAGCACTTCCTGGTAGCAAACACTGAAATTAAAAAGAAAAGGAGTACTTGTGGCACCTTAGAGACTAACAAATTTATTTGAGCATAAGCTTTCGTGAGCTACAGCTCACTTCATCAGCTCACGAAAGCTTATGCTCAAATAAATTGTTTAGTCTCTAAGGTGCCACAAGTCCTCCTTTTCTTTTTGTGAATACAGACTAACACGGCTGCTACTCTGAAAACTGAAATTAAAGTTAGCTGCAGGCTTCCCTTGTAATCCCTTTTTCACATGCTCGTAACTTTCTAAAAAACTCCTTTTCAGTTTTATCTTTTCAAATTTAGGGTTTGTCTACACATGAAACACTACAGCTACACCACTGCCATGCCTCCGTGTAGACACTACTGAGGCTGATGGGAGGGGTTCTCCCGCTGAAGTAGGTACTCCACCTCCCTGAGAGGCAGTAGCTAGGCGATGGAAGAATTCTTCTGTCAACCTAGCGCTGTCTACACCGGGTTAGGTCGGCTTAACTGTGTTGCTCAGGAGAGTGGATTTTTCACATGCCTTAGCAATATAGCTGGGTCAACCTAATTCTTTTTTAGTAGACCAGGCCTTAGTCTCAGCTAATTTGGTGAGAAGGGAGAGGGGAAGTTTGATGAAAGTCCATTCACCCATTTCAGGTCGGCAAAGGTGATACAAATACACCTTTTCCTCTGCAAGGAGGCTTTTAGTGACATAGTAACATCAATGCTGAAACTTTACAGATGGCTAGAACTCAATGAGGCTATTCTCCAGACTGATCCGTCAAAAAAATCCCATACAAAATAAATGAACAATTTCGAAAGAATGCGTTTTACAAACTCACAATATGAACTCTCCATAAAGATCAGATTATTAGGCCAGTTCCGTGGCTTCTCATAAATCTCCTTTGTGGAGCTACAGCATGGGGTTATAGCTACCTTAATGCAGTCACTTATCCCTCCCCCCGGTAGAGGGGGCATTCTGTGGTCCCCTGTGGGTTTGATGGGGCAGAGCATGCTAAGCTTTAGTGATTGTGGCCAGAGGAGCAGCCGTTTGGACAACGTTCCCTCTAATTTTTCCTATCCAATGAATTTTGTTACGTGCACCAATGTGGAGGTGATCAGTGGCGGGGGTGGGGCTGAGGGGTTCGGGTGTAGAAGGGGGCTCAGGGCTAGGGTGACCAGATGTCCCAATTTTATAGGGACAGTCCCAATTTTTGGGTCTTTTTCTTATATAGGCTCCTATTAACCCGCAACCCCTGTCCCGATTTTCACACTTGCTGTCTGGTCACCCTACTCAGGGCTGGGGCAGAGGGTTGCAGTGAGAGGGGTGAGGGTTCTGGCTGGGGGTGCAGTCTGTGGGGTGGGCCTGGGGATGAGAGGTTTGAGGTGCAGACTGCCTCCCCCCAACCCTCTTTCCTGCAGCCTCTCCACACCACAGCAGCTCTGGGGCTGGGAAGGAAAGGCGTTTCTCCTTGCCGTGCAGCAGCCGGGGAAATCACCACAGCCTCCCATGCCCCAAGCTCCTCCATCAACTCACCCCCTGCCCCCGCGTGCAGTGCAAAGGTGCCCTCCTGTGCTCCCGCACAGGTGCACACCTTAGAGGGAAGGTAGCATTTGGGGACCATTATCTATTGTTGAAAGTTAGAGCAGCCTCTACAATAAGAGAGAGTCCCTGCCCCAAACAGTCCAAGGGTCTGTACTGAGCAGAGGGGTCAAATGACTTGCCCTAGCTCACACAATAGGTCAGAGCTAGGCACAGAACCCAGGGCTCCTAAGTCCTAGTTCAAAGTCCTAGCCCCAGTGTTTGCAGGACCGATAATTGCCAGCTGAACGTTACACTACTTGTAGATTTGCTAGGGAAACCGAAAGTGTGACTGATACACAAGGTTTACGCCAGCCACTTTTCCTGACAGCTGGAAGCAGTGTTCTGCGAATTAGCAACTGAGCTTTGGCAATGGCATAAATTATTGCTACAAGCCTTACTGAAATGCAAGTTCCGAATGACAGAAGTGATTCTACAGCAGTGCTTTGAAGTAAAGCAAATCATCTTCTTAATTTTAATGCCACAAAATTCCAGGCAGCCCGCATGCTTGCTGCAAAGTACCCAGGACGCTGTTGCCTTTGAAACAAAATCAGTGTGCAGTGAAGCAGACTCCTCCTCCGAGCCCGATATGCGTTTTTGGGCTGCTTTTCCCTGCGGCATACACATAATGTCCCAGAGAGCAGACACATCATTGTCACATATGGGGCAAAGATGCAGAAAGTCATACTCTGTGAGACTAACATCTCCACAGGAAGGGAATGGTGGGAGTGTTTGCCACGGTAAGATTATGTTTTTGGAAAGTTTTTTCCCCCAATATCCTTTTGAAGAGAGCAACAGTCAAATATGATTAATGCACCGTAATGGAATGCAGTGTTC